TTTGGCTCAAGATGGAATATATTCGAAGCTTTATCTGAAATCTCTGGAAATGAATATAGTACGTCGCCGTTTGTTCCGTCGTCGGGATCGGTGGCGGTGACGCTGAGAAGCGTGGAGCCCACGGGCACGTCCTCGGGCACTCGCACCGTGTACACCGCCTGGCTGAACGCGGGCGCGTTGTCGTTGGCGTCCAGCACAGCCACGCGGATGCGCGCCGTGCCCGTCCGCGCCGGCTCGCCGCCGTCGCTCGCCCTCAGCAGCAGCTCGTGAAACGCCGCCTCCTCCCGGTCCAGCGCCTTGGCCAGCACCAGCTCGGGACGCTTCTCGCCGTCGGCTCCCGCCTGCACCGACAGCGAGAAGTGCTCGTCGCCGCTCAGCGTGTAGCTCTGCAGGGAATTCACACCCACGTCCGGATCGTGAGCCTTGGGTAAAGGAAATCGCGTCCCCGGTGTAGTTATTTCACTGATTTTCTCCTCGAGCTCCAACTTCTTGAAGGTGGGGATGTTATCATTTATGTCCATGATCTCTACTGTTATAGCATAAACCTTCATCTCGCCCTCCACGATCAGCTCACAGTGCAGCACGCATTCGGATTCGCTCTCGCACAGCTGCTCCCTGTCGATCCTCTCGGCCGTCACCAAGTGGCCGCTGCTCGCATGCAGAGCGAAATACTGCGCCCTGCCTTGGGACACCACTCGGGCGCCGCTGGCGCCCAGCGCCGCCAGCTCCAGCGCCAGGTCCTTGGCCACGTCGCCCACGAACGAGCCCTTGGGCAGCTCCTCGGGCACCGAGTAGCGCAGCTGCCCCCACACCGCCTCCCACGCCGCCACCAACACGCAGCACAGCAGCGCCCGCTGCCTCCGGCCCCAGCGCCCTTCTCTCGCCAAGCGCATCTCCCGCACGGCCCCTCCGCCACCTCACGGTCGCCGTTTCCGCGCCGCTCCCCCTCCGATCTCTGCTTCCTCTTCTCTCTTTCCGCTTCTTCTCCGGCTCCTTCTCGGCGTCCGCTGCCGACCTCTCCCGCTGCCCTTCAGCCTCCCTGCAGCACCGCTCCGCTCCGCGGGGCCACTCACAGCCCGTACAGACGCCGACACAGAGCGAGCGAGCGAGCCGGGCCGCAGCGGGCGGGGCTGCCTGCAGCGCTCCGCTCCTTCCTCTCCTCCACGGTGAACAGCGGCGCCCGCAGCCAACGCCCGGCACTGCACGCACGGCTCCACCGAGCGCCGCCGCTGCCTCTGTCGGTGGAACCGCCGCCACCGCACAACTGCCGCACTCTCAACAATTCATTAGTATTGCCAGCATTTCGATTCCTGTAGTCTTTCTCTTCTTGCATGTGACTATGTATTCCTTACTCTTGTTCTCGGTGTTCGTCTCAGTAATGGCACAGGGGTCCTCTCTAGACATTTTATTCTGATGTATTGGATTCGTTGTCCTCTTGCAGTTCTCCTCTATGTCGTTCTCATGAGTCTTGTCTCATTATTGCATATGTTCCTTCTCCACCATCATTGCAATGATTAGTCATGCATTCCTTCATGAAGTACATTTTCCTCCGTATTCTCTGTACAGTATTCCATATTCTACGTGCACTAATATCTTGGGGTTTTTTGATTCAGTGTTGAAATCTATCACGACAGTGTTTCCTGGGATCCATCCCACTCGGGATACAGAAGCTCGTCTACCTCTCCAACTACCACTGGAAGACAAGATCCCAAACTGATCATTCCTCTCTGCGAATCTGCTGCAATTAATCATCAGCTCCCCTCAGCAATACGAGATGGCTGTTCACCTGCACCACAAACTTTCTACAGAATAAGGAAGCCGGTATATTGGTCTGCATTTCGCACCCTTGTATCCTCCTCTTTCTGGAATTTAAAAGTTCGTGCTTCTTTCTCTACAGAGCAGTCATTGTCAGAGACAATACTCCTGTGATTTGCTATTTCCAACTCATGAGAAAACAAATTGGAAACTGTCCTTCATGAAGAATAATTCATTTTAGTTTCACCTGTAACTATGTACTGTGGAAGCACAGTCTGTACTGTGTTTATTGCAGTTTGTCTTGAGTGAGAGTTTTCCTGATTTTCAAATGAGTACTCCTAGTGAAATGCTACATTCTGTTGTAACTTCACAATATTATTTTGATATCCCACTTGGCAAACGGAACTTCCCACTCACACATTGCAGGGATCCAAGTTCCAATATCATATTTCCCCTTCTCAGGGGACCTTGATCAGCCAGTAGCTCCCACATCCTACCTCAAACTCCTGCCATGGAGCACACCATTCTGGACTGTCTCCACCGAGCAGTTCCCACCATACAAGCATTAGGTGGTTAAGGTTTTTCATAGGTAACAAATACACTGGAGACTTCTCCAGTATCACTCAGAAATACTTCATAGGTCCAACTTCTTTCTAAAGAAGAAACTCAGATTGCTTGGCATGTCCACAGTGTGCCCAATGGATAATTGAACCAAGCAAGGAAATAAGCATCTATGCCAAAGTAAAGCAGAAATCAGTTCTGCCATTCCTCTGGACAGTCTTGAATGATTGTTCTTCCTCACTGTAGCTGCAGACCTGGTGCCCAGAACAGCTGAAGATCCTGATCTTGCTCTCTGTTCACCTACATTTCAAACAAGATACCAACTCACACACCAGAAGAAAGCACCGTGGAGTTTGGTATGATGCAACAGAGACCAAAGTAGATATGCATGCAGATCTACATGCAGTTGTATGATGAGGTTGCTCACTTGGATCTATTACAGCTCTGGTTTTGCATTTGCGGGGGCCATCTGTCACCACACCATTCTTCCGCCCCTCTTCCTCTTTGTCTTCATAAATGTCATTCCTGCTCGATGCACCCTTTCACTTCCCAGACCTCACCTGTGTCTCCAGCATTTGCCATATATACTTTTGATTCTCAGGAAAGCATCACTGCCTCTAACCACAGGATAATGAGAATCAAAGCAGAAATAGAGCAGCCTTGGCACCAGCAATAAAAACATTCCGCTGCCCAACCAAGGGCACGTTAACATACCAACTTCCTTTGCTATAAACTGCGTTTTCTTCTCTGTACTCCACAATCACGCACATTGTCAGCACCATGGATAGTGTCCGCATTCCTACGGTTCTCTCTCGCAATGGCAAGCACATTCCATTCACTGACATTTAGCTGACGGAGAAATACATCAAAGCCTTAGCATTGACAGCTGTGAACGCTGAAGATCTGTATTGAAACCTCTCCCTCATTCCCACAAATCTAAAATCTTACAGTCTTTTGACGTTTACATTTACAGCACAGACATATAATGCAAAATCTCTATCCAAAAATGGGAAACACAAACCACAAAAACACTGGGAACAAATCCCTTAAAAAGGAATTAAAGCTAAGAAGATATTCTATGTCACGTTATAGCTCAATATGGATGGATTAACAAGAAATATACTGCGTTACACGTATTCATCATCACACTATACAGTTATTTGAAAATCTTTCATCTTCAGCAGACTACCATTACTATTCAAAACAATGAAAATGAGATAAAAATATGCAGAGATGCTGAAGGTTTTGACACCAACTATGAAATCAATCCGCTGTCCAAACAATATCACTGCTGAAGCAACTCACTTTCCACATTCAAATCCAAGACACTCACCACCGTTTAGGGATTTCATCAATAACACCCAAATTTTACCCATATGTCAGCCACTGGTGAGAGTGTTTCACTTAGTGACACTTCAAGGAAACTTAAGTATATTCAAGTCCTCCTCCCCTGAGGCCCGGTTCTATCTTGATAAGAAACAAGGCCAAGTAGTGAAAAGTACAGAAGGCAAGAACATCGCTATCCCTCATCAGACATCACTCTTCCATCACACCAAGTATTATTCAACACTAAATTCCACTAGCACCGCACAACCGCCACATGCTGCACCCTCTCAACACTTTGTTAATATTGTCAGCATTTCTTTTCCCTGACTGTTAACATGATCTTGACGACATAGTACTTTATTCAGGGTGCTTATTTCATACAGGCAGCAGAGAGTTCCTCTTCAGTCCGAGATTTCTTACTCAGAGCAAGGAGAATTTTTATGATTTATTCCATCTCTTTACACTGAGTCTTAACCCATTCTTGCAGAAGCACTAACTCGTGGAGATGTCCATAGATTATTCTTGCAGTCGCTCTCGAAAGTAATGCTCATCACTTTTTCAAATGTCTTTAATTATCTGAGTACAGCACACGTTTGTGATTTCTGTTGCTTCTATATCAACTGCCTTTAGAAGTCCATCACATCTTCTTCATCTCACACAGGAAAGTCATTTCATGTGCTGTGCACATACCAGAATGCAAAAGGAAGTGTAGTTCTCAACCAAACAATTCCTCCCCATCATGATGCAGGAGCCAGCAGCTCCCTTGTACCCTTCCCATAAAAGGTGCAATTGGCCACAAGCTCTCCACATCAGTTTATAACATGTTCCTGAATAGTCAGCATGCCACGGGTAGATCAGAGGTGATGGGAATATTCAACACTTGATGATTTTCTTCTTCCACTTGATTGAACAGTGGGTAGAAGAGCACAGCTGTGTTCTCCAAAAACATTTTTCCTGCAAGGCAAGGAAGGAAGCTTGGCTCTTCACGGTATTTCTGCTTCTAGATGTAATGAAAGAAACTGGGGGACACTGCTTAAGGTATAGTTGCTTTGACACAGCTGTGCCTTGAGAAGCCATCTTCCAGAGCACATGCAAGTCGTTGACAGTTCAAGCTGCATCTTCATTTGTTTTCAATTGAGAGGACAAAACAATTATTTCTTTTTCCAAGGTCATCTTCATCAACGAGATGGAAATGTGATCATCTTGAGTCTGTTATTTCTACAACATAGAAAGGAGGATCCTTATTTTTAATTCCAATTCTAAATACTTCTGAGTATTATCTCACATTTGTAGAAGCAGCCTCTGCACCACAAACTCCATTAATTATTCTTGCAGTCATTATGCAATTAATTTTTCTTGTTCTTTCCAGCACCGCAATATTAACTTTGTGCTACATTCACTGGTGAATTCTCTTCTTTCAATGTCAACAGCCTATAATAACCTGTTCTCCTGTATCCATAACACACTGCTATGCGAACCTTCCATGCACATTCTCCAGTGCATCATGCAAATGAGTTCCCAATCCAAGTTGTTCTCCCTTGTTGGGATAGATGAGGAGGCAGAAGTTCCCCTGAGTCCTCTGAGATGGCAGACTCCGTGTCTCCAGTCCTCCAATAAATGAGAACAACCCAAAAGAAGTGGCCACAAGCATTGCAGACAAGTCTGTACCACCTCCCCATGTAACTAGCATAACACACGGCACTGAGAAGCTGTGGCTATATGCAGTGCTGGATGACCTTTTGCTACCTCTTGATTGCAAAAATGGGTAGAGAAGCATGGCTGTGTTCTCAAAAACTCCGTCCTCCAAACCAGTAGCTCAGTCATTTCAAATAATTCTGATTCTAATTATAAAGAAACAGCTGATCATTGTGAGCCATGCTATTGTAGTGCGCAGTTTCACTGACACAACTTTGCCTTAAAATGAGTGCTTGGAAGTCAATGAAAATTGAACTTACATTTTCATATGTCATGATTTTATATCCAGTGGTATTGGTTGAAGTCTTGTACAAACAAGATTGTCACTCCTCACCACCATGATGTTGAAAGAAAGGGGCTTAGTGAAATAGGCACTAACCTGGACACAATATTAGCAAACAAAACTTGGTACAGGAAAATACACTGCTGAATCATCAATCCCCCTGATTCAAGGGAAGACTTGATGCTCTTGTATTAACTGTGTTCCCTATGTCTGTGTTGCAAGAACAATAATCTCTAGCCTTTGGAAAAGTAAGATATGTACAAGTGAGCATCTACACAAAAGTGACAGAGAAAAAATTTCTGCCATTCTTTGCCTGGGTTGTCTGTAGTCATCAGATCCATCTAGTACGTTTGCACATTTGGAGACTGGAACAGTTGAAAACTCTGGCTTTGCTTTCATTTCACTTAACTTCTAACCAGGTACCTACACATATATTGGAAGAAAACACCATGGTACTTGCTGTGAAGTGACATACATCCAGGTGCACATGCAGGTGTAATATGACAGTAATACATCACATCTAGTATGGCCCTAGATCAATGTTTCCAAGGAACATCTTCCCGCACAACACTCTTCCTCCCTTCTTTGTCCAGCATTACAGAATTCAGTGCCTCCAGTTCCATTCTACCTCTTTCACTTCTCAGGCCTGCTCTACATACGTGGATTTTGCCTATTACTTGATACTGGGTGAACCAACGTTGCCTTTGAGGACAAAGAAAACAGGATGATAGTAGAAATGGTGCTGCCATTGGCAGCAGATGTGAAAGAAAATCCAGACAAGACGGTCTGCCTTCAAGAGTCTAGTTGGAGCTTCCCTAACCCAACAATTTTCAAATCTCTAAGCCAAGATCTCACACACTGCACTCTAAAGTCTCTGGCTTTTATCAGCACCATGGACAATATCGATGTTCATAATGGCTATCAGACAACAGAAAGAGCATTTCATTCACTGACACCGTTTTGAATGAGAAATACACACAAGCTTTATCCTTGACAGCTTCACACAATCAAAACCTTCAAATGACTCCCTCATTCCCACAATACTAATGCACCATCCAGTCTTAAAAGGTTTATGTCCAGAGCAGAGAAATGAAAAAAAAAGAAAGCAGAGATTTGCAAGTACAGCTTTGCCATTCCACACCACCGCTGACTCTCCTGAAATATCCACCTAGTGGCTGACATGAAAAAGGCTCATGAACATATAACACAGTACTAGAAATAAATAAAAAAGGAAAATACAACACCATTTTTACTGCTTTTTCGAATTTGACGTATGTACATGAGCATAAGGCCAGGAAACGCTGTCCTCAATCAAACAGCACATGGAAGCATTCAAAGAGAAATGTGGCTGAGAAACTCTTCGAGAAGGAATAATGGTCATCCCCGTAGACACTAAAATTCAATCCCACAACAACTGGAATCCAAACAGTTTTTAAGCTGCTGATAAGGCCCTAAACTCT